TGATTTGTCAGTCTAGGATATATTATATTTAAATATTGTCATATATTCTATTTTGAAACAAATATTTTATTTTTCAATTAAGACGCATTTTGCATAAAGCATGGTTAATCAATTGATGATGCATTATTTCGACTAGTTATGCTGTACACTGTGTACAGTACACAGACACAAAAACAAACATAAATAAAAAAAAAAAACACACATCATTGTAAAATCAATACATTCATCACTTCGTTCAGAATCTAAAATCACGAAAATTCGCAAATTATTTTTAACTAGAAATTCATAAAAAAATTTCTTTTTAAATCTAAAATTTAAAAATTTAATACAAGATTCCTTACAAGTTTTTCAATCTTTATCACAAATGTTCTACGCAAATATAGTTGATTCTGCTGTAAAAAAAAATTTTAAAACTTTACAAACACAGCTTTTTTAAAGTTATTTTAAGTTCAAATTTGGATGAAATTACATACTAATTAATCAACAGTAACAGTTTTAGTTATGTTGTTGTAATTTAAAAATATGATTTGTTGGTACTTAAATTTCTAGAGTACCTATATATATATTCTAATAWTAATAGCTAATGTTGTTATAATGCATAATGATTCATATATTAATACAATATTATAAATTGTATATATACGCACCTTCTATAAATGAGTGAATCGGGTATATAATGAATCTAATTTGATTAATTTGGAATTTATTTTTTCTAAAATGTTTAGATACTGATTACGAAATGATGTATGTGTCAAAACTAATCACTATAAATACTTGAAATTTTCATCAAATGTTTATGTTAGTGATATCTATATAAAGTTTAATTTTCAAAAATTTTTGACTTTTTTGAGTTATTTATAGACCACTGACATTTTTGATTTTTTTGAGAATTTTTTTTTGAAGTGTTGGTAAAAAAATGTTGGATGACCAAAAAAACTTGGAAATTTAATACAAGGTTCTTTATGAGTTGTTCTGATTGTAGCTAAAAAAAATTAAAAATCGTTAGTCACAATTTTTTTTTAAGCGTTTATAGTTCAAATTTTTAAGAAATCTGTCGAAAACGCGAAAATTTGCAAGTAAGTTTCAAGTTGAAAAATCATAAAAATGTTTGTGTTTATAACTAAGGATTAAAAATACAACACTATGACTAGACTRACAAATCATCTCCGTCAGAATCGTTTTTCGTATACAATGATACCTATCACTGCATTCAAATCTAACCTACTTTGGTCAGAGGTCCACCCCACCACCTAATATACAGCAGAGTGACATCCACTTACTTTCCAGCTTTTTTTCCTTGGTCTTTTTTAATAGTATCACACCAAACACACTTAATCTAAAAAAAAGCTAAGTTAAAAAAAAAATTTAGTAATGATTAAATATTTAAAAGACGTAATATAATATGGAAACTAAGTAAAATGCCATTTTATAATATTACAAATACCTATGACGACAAATAAGATCAATTGTAACGTTAAATACTTAATCAACGTATTGTTTAATTATTTGGCGGGACGTAGAAGGGACCTTCTTAAATACAAATAAGTAACCGCTAAAGTATTTTTCATAATTAATAATGTATCAACAATATGTTGACGATTTTTTTTTTTATTTAACTTCGCGCCACTACCGTCGTGCTGGATTATCATCATTCGTCATAGCTAGTAATCAGCTATCGCTATCACTATACTAGTGAGCTCTATCAGCTTTTCAGTTATTATGGAAACATTATCATCTTCAAATCGTATACCCTTATCTGATAGACTCACAGACAAATATCATAATATTATACAGTAHATTATTCTATTTTCTAATTTTCTATAATTGTTAAACTGTGGAATGACTAAACACTAAAACTTAGAAGTCAGAATATTGAAGTTGAACTATTGAAAATTAAAAGTACTTGAAACATTTGACTTAAGTATGTATTGACCATCTAGTTTCTAATGTTTCTGTTTTAAATTTGTATTTTTTAACGTCTCATTTATTATTCAATTTTAGTAATCATTTTAAAACAGTACAAACTTAAGTACCTACCTAATAATTGTGAATAAGAATGTATACTTTATATTAGCATTATCCATAAAGATTATGTAAGTATATCAAAATTATATAAAGGTAGTTTTACACATGACAAATAATATCTTAGTCATGGTTTTATCAAGCATGCCTATCCCCATTTTACTGAAAATATTTTAAAAAACCAAGGGATTCATTAGATAATATTCTAACCTTTAAATTTGATAACAGGTAAATTTGCTCCTATATGACTATATTAAACATTACAGAGTGAAATGCATTATTCAAAACGTACAATTTGCTTTGTTATGCATTTGTATGTATACAATGCAATTCACGTGAGTATTCGCTAGGGTACACGTGACCTTCTTAAGCTATACAGTATGTCTCAAAAATCCCATTTCACTCTTGTCCTATATCTGTAGGAAATCAATATGTTAAAATTTGTTTTTTTATATAGGAATAACCAATAAGTATGGAAATTCTAATTAATACCATAATATTCAAATTTTTTTATGCAATTAAGTTTGAAATTTTCAAGATAGCTATTTTTTGATTAGAAACAGTTTGCAAAAATTTGCATTATTAAATTAGAAATTGAGTTAGTTAAGTTAGAAAGTCTTGATTAAAATTTATTTTATTTAATTGAATATGTAAAAATATCTTTCTTTTTTTCAGTTACCATGTTGTCAATGAGAACATTCCGGACATGTTATTTATGTCATTGTTTAAAAATGATCACATCTAAAAATATGTCTGTTGCAATAAATGAACTGAATGTGGTACCAGAACACTTGAGTAACTTGGCTAAGCAGTTAAATGTAAAAGATTCAACATTATCCAAAGTTATTAGCAATCATCAAGAGAAATTAAAATTTTACACTGAATCTAGGTGGCTTGTACTATTTGAATATTTAACTCAGTATGACTTTAAAGCATCTGAGCTTCTAGAAATGATAGATTCAAATCCAGATATATTAAGTATAAATAGACAAAACTTACAAAAGTGTATGATTGCATGGACTAACTTTCGCTTCGATGACAAAAAGTTAAGACAGCTAATAATTTCACAACCTTCCTTCTTGTTGCTAGATGATAAGCTAATTCTATCCAGAATTCCTAAACTTTTATCATATGTTGGTAACAAACAAAATAGGTTATTAGAATTGTTATCATATTCGCCAAATATTTTGTTTGACAATTGGAAATCTGTAGAGTCTAAATTAGATTATATATTGTTGAACATGGAACTTGGTCCTACTCAATTTGTAACGACAAGTGCTATGTCCTCAACACTTTTTGATTTAAAGTGTAGACATAATTTTTTGGTAAAACTAGGTATGTATAAACCTCGAGATCCAAAGGCTAGTCCAAATATAATAACTGGTAATCCTTCATTGAAAAAAATCATTGAAACAAGTGATAAGCAGTTCGCTATTAAAGTTGCTGGAATTACAGCTGAAGAATTCTTTGTTTTTAAAAAAATATTTAAAAAACAATTAGATGAAGAAAATGATGATGATTCAGATGAAGATGAATATTACAGTGATGATAATTGATTGTATGAGATGCGTAGTTAATAGAAGACTTTGTTAATGGTGTGTATTAATTATTAAAACACTAACATACATATTTAAGCATATACTGTAAAAAATCATTTTAAATTATATAAAATAAATAAAATGTATCGAAAATGTTAAAATCATTTTTTTTACTTATTTAACCAGTAGAATATCTAGTTAAATTAATTTAATGTATTCTGTATGTAGTAAAATGTTATGAATATTTTTGGTCATTTTCAAATTAATAACTTTCACATTAGTACTAGGTACATTAATTTTTACACTTTCATAATATATTTTGTTAACATTATTTATTAGCCAATTTTTTAGATTTGGTGWAAACTTTCAATAAAGTACATACACAAACACAAATACACAATAGATTACTGTTCATTATTTACAGTACTCAGTTGTTACGGTATAAGTTAAATTCCTAGTTTAAAAGACATCTAAATATAAGAAAACAAATTAATAGTAAATGTTAATGGTGTTATAGATTAGTAAAATTAAATTTATGATTGTGTGCCTCAAGTTTAAATTAAGTGATTTAAATTTAAATTCATTTAGCTTTCTATTGTGGCGCAGATTATAAAATTAATATTTAGGAGCAAATTATATTTTTTGAATGAGTTCCTTTTTAAGGAACGGCACATTGAACGAATTTATTTTTATTACCAGGCTAGAATTTTTGAATACAGTTTGTCATTATTACTACAGAAAATGGCAGAGATGAAAAAAAAATATAATAATGACAATAACTAAATTTAACGATTTAAAAAAAATAAAAATGTATAATAATAATATATTGTTTAATATAATAATTATAATGTATGTTGTGATATATATATACATATAAAATTAACATAATGTGATTTATAAAACAATATTTTATAACCATACCAATGATTAAACTCATTGTCAATTTTATTGTCCTAAACTTGTAAAGTTATTAGTGGGAAGAAAAATGAGTGTTTACTAAATGTTTAACCCCTTCAAATGCAAAATAATTTTATTTAAATACTGTTTTTGAGCCCAAGTGCTACCTAATCATTACCTGCATTTTACCCCAGTGCAGTTCAACCGGCTGAAACACGATTGAGCATAAAACAATTTTTTTACGACACAATTGAGCAAAATTGTGGGTGTATCAAAGGAAATTAAAATACAAAAGAAAACCTACACGATTGAGCATAAAAAAACTGCAATGTTGCCATTTTCAATTTAAAAAAATAATAATAATTTAAATTTAAATTTAAAAATATTTATTCAAATAATTATAATAATTTAAAATATAATATATCAAAAAAATAACAAAATCAAAATATTTATAATAATAATAGTTTGACATGAAGATAATAAAATAAAAATATTTATAATAATAATAATTATGACGTGAAAATAATAAAATAAAAATATTAATAAGTCAATAATAAATAGTAGTCACATTAAAATCATTAAATAATAGGTATATAGATTTGTTTGATTGTAATAAATTAAATTAAAATACCTACTTGGTATCTATTTCCAAGCTGACTTAAATATATTATTAAATATTTTGGCAACATCGCATAAAATATTCTATGCTCAATCGTGTTGCTAAAAAAGTATAATGCTCAATCATCCTTTACCGGTTCAATCATTACCTTTTTTAAACCCAAGTGCAATTCGACCATACCCATTTGTTTTCTCTTTTTCTGATAGTCAGGCCCACGTGAAATATAGAGGATAATATTATTGAAAATATCACATACTACAATACTACATACATACCCGCTTTATATTTCATTACTATTTTACTTAGTATTCGACTTTAGAAATAAAAAATTAAAAAAGACGGGTAAGTCGTGGATGTCGCTCTGCTGTACAGTAGGTTACAAGTGGGTTACTGTAATGGATGGAATTAAATTTGAATCCAATGATATTATATCATT